TTGCGACAATGACAATAATTAATCCGATGAGAATGTAAATTGTTTTAATTTCTTTTCTTTTTTTAGGCGCGACAAGGTATTCGTTAATAAAGAAGAAAAAAAAATTCGATATTGGTGGTAATAAATTTAAAATTTCCCCGTATCGTGGGGATCATAAAATAATTTTTAAAACACGTTAAAAACGGCGGTGCGGGGAAAAAGGTTACGATCGAGACACTGGAAATCAAAACCAAAAAGCGGGATGGGATTGTAAACGCAATATGATCCAGTATAAACCGGACCGTTCAAAAACAGTTCGATTTCTGCAATAACGTTTCCGCCACAGCCCTCCTTATTTTATTTGGGTATTTGGCTTAAAACTATTTGTGGAATTCTTTTTTTTTAAATAAAATTTTAGACTCAAAAAAAGAAATCCCAGCCATCGACCATCTCGAATCGAATCCGAAAACATTCAAAAAGTATCGGTCGTTTCTTCTTTTTTAAAAAAAAAACGCTAAAGATGGGGGAAAATTTTGGGAAACGAGTTCAGTGTTCGAATTACGCGTAATCGCATTATAACTTTACACACGGAGCAGTTTTTGGTTTTAATACCACACACTAACAAAAAATTTTTAATAGGTAATTATAATAATAAAACAAAAAGGCATAAACTTAACACCATAAATCTATAATCTTTCACTACTTAAAATAAACAGGAGATTAAAGAAAGGAAAGGGAGCGAAAAATTAAAATCGATAATTATCGTATTTTATTGTGATTTTATTTTTATAAATATTATATTGTTTTTTTTATTAATCTAGCTAAAAATTAATCTCACGAAAAATTATAAAAAGGGGGACAAAACAGGGAAGAAAAAAAGGAATAGAAGGAAAAGGGGAAAATGAAAAGTGAAATTAAAAAATAAAAATAAAGAAAATATTTGTTATTTGGGACGATTAACGAATTTTTATATACAACCCTTGTAAAACATTTACTCATTTAAAAGAAATAACTAGTGTTGTTACTAAAAACGGCTAACTCTATATTTCACCAAATATTACGCAAGCCTGAAGATATTGCTCATAAGAGGAACACAGGTCTAGACATATATTATCGAAATCTTGAGACTTAGGCAATATTTTTCTGGCTCGTTTTAAAAAATCGGCTCAAAATGAGCCGTTTAACACGAGAAATACCCACGTATCGTGTATACATCCGCCGCGAATTCGGGCTAATTATGAATGAGGGATAATAAGGAACTTAGACAGATTAATTGTAGGTATAGTTAGGTGAATAAGATTATAGGAAAGTTGGACTTAATTTACAGACGCGTGCCAAAAAAAATTCGCTAGGTCTTGAGACGATATTTAATTTATTTCCGCTTTCGTTAAAGTTGAACTAGATTTTTTTTTTCAAAAAATTATCTGAGATGATTTTTTTTGGAGATATAAGTAGATTAAACCGTTTTCTTGCAGGCTACAACGGCTAAAAAAAAATCATAGAAGCAATCATATTCTTAGGGGAAAGGTGAAAATTTTGATTGTACATATTTGAATGCGTTTTAAACTGAAGAAACCCCACTCCCACATTTAATAGTGCGCTAGCATTCTCGATAAAATGTCGCAAAGGCAATATTAAAAATTATAAAAACATGAAAATACAGTCGTTTAATCTGGGCTCTTGTTAATTTGGAAAGCTAACATTTCCCCAATCTAGATCATAAAATTTTTTTGGATCTTCCCAAGCAACATCATCCCAAAGTTCGAAATGCTCTTCAAAATAAAAAAAAATAGCAAAAAATCTTTTATTGATGTTTTTGATGCATAAAAAAAATCCTCAAAAATTTTGGGGCAAATGAAATAGGCCTAGAGTGGGCCTACTTACTAATATCACATTTTTATAGCAGGCCTGGGTTAATAAAAAAAAATTATTAATGGGTTTATACCCAATTTTTTTATTTAAAATTTAGCTTTTTTTAAAACAGTTGCTAACATTCTTATTCTATAATAATAAATTTCAGTATTTGCAAAACAAAATGATTGCCTAAAATACACTCAAAATATTATTTATTTTCATATGAACACACATTAAATTAAATTTTTGGATATGGGCTTGAGCATATCATTTTGAAACTTTTTTTTATGGAGCTTGGGATATATTTTTTAAAGAAATATTAAACATGGGCCGGGGCTGAGCTTGCATCTAAAAAATTTTCATTGCAAAATGGGACTGGCCAAGATCTCTGGTCAATTGAGGCTAAAATATTTGAACCTGAAATTTTAATGATAACAGTTAACTCAAGTTTTTTGCCAAAAGTAGATTACTCAAGCCTACAGGTCCGATTCTATGCTTATTTGATGAGGGGAGGAACAAAAAATTTTTTTTCAAAATTCTTTTGGTTACTGAATTATTTTAAATATTAAGAACGTAATTGAAGAGAAATGACTGTTGTTCAAACCATAATCTGTTTTAAAAAAAACTATATATTCAAATTTGCTGAAATACCTAATAGCGCCAACGCGCCTCACACTGTAATGAGGAAAGAGAAAATGTAAACGTAGTTAATTTAGTTGATGAAGGTGAGAATGATCAAGGTGCCGAGATTCAGAATAAAGTAAAATGAGCCTGAGCCCCCAAAAACAAAAATGGATAGGTTAGATTTTCAAGTTACTCATATGGCAAATATTTTCACAACTGGTTTGAATCAGGTATCACCAAATAGGCCAACATCTAGTGTTATTAAAAAACCCGGTTCGGGTCAATTTTTAAAAAGGGCCCTATCAAAATAATAACCCAAATAATATTATGTATGATTGAATTTGCTCATAGATGGCAGAAAGGTTTGGATATCTATTTACCGATAAAGCTTACATAATATTATTTTGGCTAAAATTTAAATCGGGGTTTTTAACATACCAACATCACTCAAAAAGACTATTATTAATAATGGAAGAAGATTTTCTTTAAAGTTTTATAAATACCTATATATAGGTTGAATAATTAATTGAAGCTGAAATAATATGGTTATAATTATATATGACAAAACAATTTTAAAGTATTTTTGTCTTCCTTGTAAGATCTATAACCTTAAACAATGTTTTTACCAACCATAATATAAATTGTAATATAGCTATAAATATTTTATAAATTACATTTATAATTGAATTCCTAACAAGTGTTATACAAGCACGATTAAACTATATCAATATTATATATAAAATCTTTGTAAAATAATTAAATCAACTTATTTCTTTCCAGCTTTAAGTCAATTCTTATCTTTCATCTAATTTTATGAACATATTTGATCATAGCATATTTTTATATGTGGTATTTTTCAAATAATCAAATATTCCAATTTTGTGTTCAAATAACTTAAATATTTCTTCTATGGTGTAGAAATTTTTTTTCTTAACTGCCCTATCTCCCCAAAATTTTTGTCTGCCCCCCTAAATGGGTAAAGCTAGAATTGGGCCTGCAAGTTTATTTATTTTACCCACAGATGGTAGAAAGGATTGGACTTCTATCGGCGATTCGAGGCTTAGATAATAATATTTCCTTTTCAGAAATCGGCTAAATAGAGCTATTTAACAACATTACATTCACCCCATAAACATTACAAATATTTTAAATGAGATTACCAACTTTTGGGAAATTTAAAAAAAACTAAACTTCATCATTCATGAAAGTTAGATTTTTTTTCTATAGAAATTATTTATATTTTTAGACATTGATACAGAGATAGATGGTAAATAAAAATCAATATAAATAATATTGGATCGGTTTTTTAGTAATATCAGATTGGTGAAAAATGTGAATGGGCACAGCCCTACTATAAAAGTGTGGATTTTTTTTAATGGTATGCATTTTGGTTACCAAGCCAGCCCTACAATTAATAAGAAACCTGTAAATGTGCAATCTTTGTTAACCATAAATCTACTTAAAAGTTGCATGGAAAAACATTTTATATGGGCCAGATAATATGTGGGCAGTTAATTGGACTCATGTTGTTAAATAGCCAAACATTTCTGCAACCTAAGAGATCTCCAGACTTAACAATGTTTTTGAAACTGAAGTTTGCAGTTTTAATGGAAAATAACCCACCAATGTAAAGAGTAATCAATGACACCTATTTAAGCTTAAAACACTTATGAATCAAATAATAAAAATAAATAATGATGTCTGATTTTTAGATATTTTATTTTTGTAAAAAAAATTTTTAAGGATTCTTTTTATTTATCAATGATAAAAATGTTTGGTATATTTTTTATAACAATTAATTTTGTTAGATTTGATAAGGTTAAAAAAGCAAATATTACAAAAATATATTTAATCACTTATACTTAAAAAAAAGTCAACGAGAATTGTATATATAATAAAACATTTTTTGAGATGTACAAGTAGGGATGTTTAGTTATTCAAGCTGGGTGGCCTGATAAGATTAGAGGATTTAGTTGAAAAAACAAAAAATAATGTTAATTCAAACATTTGAATAATGAACTTCAGTATTTGAGTCAATTCAAATAAAGATTTTTTTTGTTTAAATTCTCTAAAATGTATTTGGCTGGACCTGGCAAATTAACTATACTATGTAGCAATCATAATCAATCAAGATAACTTTAAATATATTGATATGTAATAAAATCAATATAAAAATAAAATATTTAAATTTTGTTTGCAGAAGGTGTATGACCAAGATCACAAGGGTGTAATGAAATTAGCTTATAAAGCAAACCAAAAAATCAATAAAATAAATTATATTGGAAAAATCTTGTCTTAACAATGTAATTCAAATTATTAAATTAAGAGATGAAATAAATATAGAAAGATATATAATTTTATGTTCTATAAATATAGAATATATTTAGTTTATAAACTTTTAATTTTCATAGCTGAAGGCAGGATTATATAGTTTATGTCATTGTGTTTTGAAAGAATTAACATGTTATGCATATATATTTTTTTAATAAGGAAATACATCAAAATTTATAACATAAAATATTAAATAATTCAAAATCACTTACGGTTCAGCCTCAATGCTCTTAAACTTGGCAACATAATTAGATGGAATATATCCTTCCTTTTTAGTCTGCTTAGATCGGGCAAACCACCAATCTCCTTGAGTATCATTGATTATTTCAAGTAGTTCACCTTTTTTAAAGCTCAAATCTTCTGTGGTCCTAGCTTCATAATCATAAAGTGCAATAAATATTTTAATTTCGCGTAAATTAGGTGTTGTTCTATTTAGGCTATCATTTTGAGATTGTGGCACACTAGTAATATTGCTCCTATAGGAAGGGGTTATATTAGATGTGATGGATAATTGAATGGGAGAATGAGGCTGATTTGTCGAACGTAAATTTATGGATAAATTAGGCAAGGGCTCAAGTTTTTCAACAAATGGCCGGGAATTTTTGTTAATTTTTTCTATTTTGTCATTATGTTGTAGACAACAAAGATTTCCCATAATTATCAAAAAAAAAACTAAAAAAATAACTTTTAATAACTCCACATGTTATAAAATAAGTGTCAGGGAGGAAAATATAAAATGAATTATCATGATTAATACTATCATAAAAATAAATATTAATCTAATTTTGTAACATAAAATGCAAAATATTTTAAAATTATTAATTATTATAACACATTCTTAGATTATTTGCTAAACTCAGAATCAGAATTAAGTAGTACAAACATGTGGGATAATAAATAATTTCGTATAAGGATAAATCTTAATCGGTAGGTTCATGGGAAGAAGGCTCAAACTCCTTGAATATTTTAAAGAGCCATTTAAAAAAAATTTCAAAATTTGTCGTTATTTTAAATAGTATATTTTTTCTAACCGTACAAAATTATTAAAATTATAAGAACGTCACTAATCGATACCGATTATACCAATGTATTCTTCATAAAATAAAATATTAATACTATATTTATTTTTATAACAACGTTTATATATTATTTTCTTTTAATCTCAACCATTTCCTTGATTTCCTATTTTATTTGTGCCCCCCCCCCTTATTTTCTTATAATTTGTGCATTTATTTAATTTAACAGTAGTTAGCAATAAATTAAATGATTCAGGGGATGGGATAAATGATTTAAATTGAACACTTGCCATTTGGATGAACCTAAATTATTAGGCCCTATAAACACTTATTTTTATCACCCAATATTTTAACAAAAATTATCATTAAGTAAAGAAATTTGAAATTTATTCCAGGATAAAATAATTCTCTCCAATCTAGACCAATTTGCTTCTACGACCAAAGATGAAATTTATGTCCTTGGATTACTAATAGATAGCTCTACCAATATAGCCTTCCTAGAAAGGGAATCTCAATAAACTTACATTTATGCAATATCTCAATTCTAACTTTCACATTAGGCCTTATATATAAACTTTCTAAATATTTTTCAAAATTCATTACGGCTTCAGTTCATCAGGCAGGGGCTCTCCAATTTTCAGGAATTTTCCGATATTACAAATTTGAAATCAAATTCATATTGGATGATATTTTTAATCCAAAATTTTATCAGATTTACAAATTACTCTTCCTACCTATCAATCGCATTACTCATATCATCTTCTACTAAGTCAAAAACTAATTTTTAAACTAACTGATGATTAATTACAATCTTGCATTATCAAGCTAGTCAAAAAATATAACAAATGGAACAAATTATGCCTCAACCAGTTCACAGAAGGATTGAGATGCAGGTATCATCATATGTAAACGATCTAAATTTTTTTTAAAATAGCAGACATATTTAATTTAATTATAGAAATTTTAAAAACTATAATTTTAAATAAATAAATATGATATAAGTTAAAACGACTAAATTTTTCAGGTTATTACTTCAGATCTGCACAATATTTTAATTAAAATATTTAAATAATATATAATTTTTATGTAATCCAATTATCATATACCTATAAACTTATGTTCATTTCCAGTTTTTTCATAACATCATTCCTAGAAGAGTTGTTACTTTTTTTGCTACATTCTAGGCTAATTTTTATAAAAAAAAATTTTAATACATAGAAATCAACATTTATAAATTATAGTTAGTTTTAAATCATTTATGCAATAAATTATTTGTGATAATATTCATTTTTTAATGTTGCATTTTAATGATAAATTAATATACTATAATCCTTAAGTCGAAAGTATAAGTTTCGCCTTAGTAAATAATCTCTCAAAACCAGCATTTCAGGGCAAGGCTGTATATAATTTTATATACATATCTTTAATATAAGAAAAATTATCAAAAATACTCATTTGATTTTTAGATTTAAAAAAGTCTCTAGGAAATTTTCTATTATATTAGTATCCTTTATTTCAAAAAAATTATCAGAAGTCGTTTTTATGGTTCTAACAAGGGAATCTTTGTCTGCTCTCTCAATCGTTAGTGTTTGGGGACAAAAAATTGTTGTAAAGTGGATAATTTTAATCATCATGGTAAATAATGGATTATCAACCAATGACATTGGCTGGTATCAATTATAAAATCGACAATAACTTTATCAGCCATTTTCAGAGAAATATTAGCATGTGCAAAATTATTAATCAATTTAATTTGAATTGAATTGGTCATTTTGGATGTAGTCTCCCATATACTAAAATTATTACGATGTTTTTCTATCACTTTAAAACTGTTGGCATTTCTTATAAAATAAATATTATTGGAATTCAAAAATGACAATTATCTTTATACCTACTAAATTTATATGAGGATATAATTTTTCTACATTTTAAACAAATAAATTGACGGTCACTTTTTTGTTTTTACATTAATTTAAAAATATTTTTCAAATTTTGGAAATGAAAAATTTGTATTATTGTTATCAATAACATTTTTTTCCAGACTACCTTCCACCTTGTCTGACTCTCATTTACATCGATTTCGATACCAATTTGCGATGACAAATAAATTAATTTACACCATATGATTTAGGTTTTTAATACTGATTGAAAATATAAATTACAAATTGAAAAAATTATAATTATTTATATTATAATTAAATTTTAATGTTTATAGTTACATTCATTATATTTTTAGAAAGTAGCGCGTTAAAAAAAATAAATGATTTAAATAAAAAATAAAGAAAAAATATAGAGTTTTTAAAATAAATTTTGCTATTTTCAAAGTGGCGATTTTTTTAAAGGATGTTTATTTTAATCTATAACCAGTTTATATATTAGGTTTGGTTATACCATTCTCTATTGACAGAAGTGCACAACTCAATAGCATTGACTTCGTATGGTATTCTATTTTAAATCTGTTGTCAATATAGTCGTCTTCCTCATTGATGATCAGTCTTAGCCATCTTTATTTGATTGAAAGCATTAAATGAATTGAGAGAGAGATCGAAGTCCGAATTATTTGATCAGGAATTTTCAAATCGCTATAAACTATTCTAAAGATATACAAATACTATTTAATTTTTATTTTTCTTAGATGACGTATAAACGTTATACATTTTTTTTTATAATATCCAAAAGCCATTTATTCCCTTTTTTAAAAAAAATACTAGCAACAACATCAAATATTTACTAAAGATTATAAAAATTAGGGCTAAAATTAAGGAATAAAAACTTCAAGTTATTTTTTAAAATAGAGCAAGTCCTCACAGTGAAAAATATAACATCCAATATGTTAAAATAACAATGAAAATAAATCACTTATAATATTCATACATAGATACGAACTTAAAAAATTTGGCCAAATTATGCAAAATATTTTTCCAGGCATTTTTGTAAGCTTAGAGCTAGGTAAATTTATCTTCCTTCATATTAAAATATTACGGTAGCCAGCAACTTAGACAAAATTATTTTGCTGTTTTAGTCGGACGGTAACTTGCCCAAGCTTATTTTACGAGCCGCTGAATATAATAAAATCAGGGCTTAATTTTGATCGGGCCACGATGATCTTTAATTAAGAACAATTTTTTAGTTTTGATTATGAACTATATAAATGAGATATAATTTTGTCAATTATTTAATGAAAAACTAAATAAGATATATATATAATAGGGACCATCAGCCCGGTCCGGACTATGTTAAATTTTTTTAAATATACCTTGGTCGGGCTTATTTTTTTTTAAAACATAACCGGGCTGACCGGGCCCGTATATTTTAAAACAGAATATTAAAACCGATTATAAATCGCCATTATTAGTAATAAAATTATAAAATAAATAAAATATATTTTCTCAAAATCATGCCCGGGCCAAAAAACTTTTCAAAAAAATCCGGGCCGGAGTAAAAGAAAAAGAAAATTGGGGCCGGCCCCTCAAATAGTACTTCTGTATGTTTCTGATTAACTTCAAACATTTATTTAGATGGCGTTAAATATTTATATAGAAATTTCTTAATTTTTACTTAATTTACATCATCGAGAATTTCGTAATACTTAGTAAACCCAATTAATTATTTACGAAACATCAACAATATGAAAACGACCTAAATTTTTAAAAAAATAGGAGACATTTAATTTAATCGTAGAAATCTTTAAACTACAATTTGAAATAAATAAATATGTTATAAGTTAAACGACTAAATTTATGTCGCACGTCGTGTGTCCAACTATTTGCATCAGTTTTATATTTAATATATTATAAAATAATATATAATTTTTTTTATAAACTTGTAATTATCAAAGACCTACAAACCTAAGTTCATTTTGCGTTCTTTTCAAAATATCTTTGGTAGGCCTCTCTCTAGAATTTTTATTTATTTCCAAACAAAGAATAAAGGAGGCTGTTTCCTGGTTCTATTCCGGCTAATGGCTTCCACTAAACATCGTAAACGCCAGAGAAACTTAGGCTAAATAGAAATGAGAATCAAAATTTAGTCGAACACAAATGATTTTTATAATTTATTAACTATTAACTAGCGATTGATATACTCTTATCCTAGTTTTTTTTTAAAAAAAAATTAATTCGACAAATTAAATATTTACCAAAAACTTTCCCTAGGAAACAACTCGAAAAAACATTATGTCTGTAAATGGCCTTACCCGAAATCCAACCCATAGGCTGAAAAATAGTATTTTTTGTTTTATTTCCCGTTGAAAATACTTTGCAAAATATGGCAAAAATTGTTCAACGATGAGATTTTAAATAGCGGGACCAGGCCTAAAAAATTGATCAAAAATAAATTCTCACCAGACAAATTTAAGGAAAAAAAACCCTCAGCAGGGGTTGAAAAGAATAGTTTGTATTTATAAATGATTTAAATTAAAACATAGAGTTATTAAAATAAAGAATGCTATTTTCGAAATGGCGATTATTTTAAGGATGTTTTCTTTAATCGTTGAGCAGTTTATGTTAATATAAGTCTATGGTTATGATACTCCCTATTGATAGAAGTGCACTCAATAGCACTGCCTTCGTGTGGTATTTGATTTTAAATCTGTTGTCAATATAGTCATCTCATCATTGATGATCAGTCCTAGCCATCTTTATTTGACTGAGAGCATTAAATGAATTGA